TACACTTGGTGCACTCGGAGACAAAACAGGTTACGTGGTGGCGCCCAGAGATTTTCCACCATAGAAGGCTAAATTATTGCTGAATTGAGCTTACCTTTTGGCTTTCGGATCTTAGGTGTGGGGTGGGGGTATAGTACATAAGGTTTAGAAGATTCGATTCATGTGTAGTCGGTTTAAACTATGGGTTGTCTGTAGGCCTTGCCTCCTATGGAAAACAGCCACATAGAGAGTCATAAGATGTTGAGGAAGACCTATTCGAATCATTGCCTACATAACATATTTTGTATTGTTAGGACATTTTTGAGATTTGAGACATTCCTGTGCTACTGTCAAGTATAAAAATTTTCTTTCAGTGGGCGTCCACTCCTGCTGATTTAGGCATTCTTAATTATATGACTGGTTCATTTTGCATTCGAAATGCTAAGTTCTCTTTTAAGGTTTACTATGCCTGTGAATGAATGAAGGCTGGATATTGGGACTTGTACCTCCTCTATCTGGAGGGCCACTGTTTCGCTTACATACATTTCGCACTGTATTTTTATGTTCTTTTTGGTTATAAGCCGCTTCCACCAGTGAGAAGATGGTGATATGATCTAAAGGGGGGTAGGCAAACTCTGCTCCCCCCCCCCCCAAATTCCATCATGCCTGTGGCTATCAGATTTTGCAATCTACTGGGATTTGTAGTTGCACCAGGGCTGGTTGCACTTCCCCCTGAAGTAAAGGGAAACATTGGACCCAGGCTTTGAAGCGGTACTATCTTAGCACTCTAACTCTTTTTACTTGGATCACGTAAACAATATATTCAACAAAACCATTTGATCCCACCTTCCATTACGGCTTTCCGGGTTCCATATATGACAGTCACTTTAATCTGTTTTATCGATGAACTATCAAACAAGGAAACAGTAAATGTAACGCAATCTTGTTTTAATGGAATGCTTATGTCCCACCTAGTCTGCCAGAACACCTAGGCGGAATGATATGCAGGCAGCCCCGTCCAGTCTTCATAAGATGCCACTTCCTCTAAAATCTTTTGCCCGGCTACAGCAGGCCATTTGATCGGACATCAGAAGAATATGAAATTGGGAATATAGAGCTGTCGGTATTTTATTTTTTTTTACTTCCACCATGTAAGCTGATTTTTAGACCTCTTTTCTTTTTTCATAAATTCTTTTATTTAACAAGTTTTTTACAAATAGACATAAACAAAAAGGTTTACACAAGGGGGACCAAGCCCCATCTCAAAGAGAGTGGACACAGCCACTGAACATATGCATTACATGAACAATAACATCAGAACAACATTTAAGGCAATTATCGAGGTAGTATCTCCAATAACAGTACAGTACAGCCGCCTGCAGGTATTTGGAATTGCTGGGATGGGTTATCAGGGACCCACAGGCGTTCTGCATATGGAGAAGGTGCGTACATTCGTACAGCAAGTGAATTGTTTAGGTTATTCGGTGAAGGGAGGGCAGGTGGGGTGGGGTAGGTAGAAGGGGGGGGTATCCTAGACCTCTTTTCATACGTACAATGAAGTTACTTTACAACAGTAGGACCATTGACTAACTTTTTATTGGTTAGAATAGAATACTTGACAAACAAATTCCTATGGTTTAAAAATAGTCCGAAATCTACCTGGCACCTTGACCCGGCCATAGCCGGCTGGTAAACTGTTCTAAACTGTAGATTCACAACTGTCTGCATAGATCTACCTGGGACACATAACTGGCCGCATATTAAAGCTTTCAGGAAGATGTGACTTCAGAACACGTTTAAATTCCTAAGGAGAACTTCACATAGAAATGCTGAGAGCAAGCTCATCCGCCCACGCTTCTCACAGCGCTCATACCAGTCTAACCAGTGCTGCAAGGTGCCAAACTGGTATCCATTTTGAAGAAAGCATTCTTTTAGTGAAACTTCTGTCCCCTCCCATCCCAGGTCTTGTTGTTTTTGTCTTGTTTTTAATCTGGACTGTCCTGCACGTAATGGCAGGGATGCTGTCCGGACACCATTATAAAAAATCTGAGTACAGTCTGCTCCTCTGAAATGTATTGGTTACAGTCCATGCAGGCAAGTATAATGTGAGTCATTGAACACAAGTTTGTTTGTCACATGATGGAGTCCAGTATACATGGATGCAGTAACACAAATGATTGCAGGCCTTCAGCTTTGCAAAAGGTGTTTTTAAAAACAAGCACTGTTGGAGCACTGTTAGATCCAGTATTAGTGAGTCTAAGGATGCCCATAGTTCTATGGATTGTACAGAGGTTCCTATGAAAGCTTTCCGTGAGCACTGACAGCCTTCTCCATTGAGCAGATATTTTCAAAATACGCCTACAAAATTCATAAAACTATTACTTTCTGTTGCAGGGGTTGGTCGTTTGCAAGTATAATATTCATAATTTCTTTGTCAGGACTGGACAATTCCCAAAAGATGAATAGCCAATACTCCTTAAAATTACAGCCGGAGCCTATCTTTTGAGGTTTTCCCTAGTTGTTGAAAAGTTCTTGAATTAGACAGACTGGATTCTCAGTTCAATTTTTATTTGTCTATTCCTCCTTTATGTCCATTAATGGACACAAAAGGCCAAAATGAAGCCCTGTGCATATGTTTGTAATTTGTGATGAGGGCTCTCTAATGCTCTGTGAATGACAAGGGACAAGCACTTGCTTTGCACTGCATTAAAATGAGTGTGTGTAAACCTTAAAGTTGATATTTAATGAATGCATTGCTTTATTATTCGTGTCAGTGACTTGTTGAAACACTCGGTGATTGTGCCAGTTCCCCATCATCTTGTAAGATTCTGACCCAAGTACGAAAGCCAGATCTGTGCTGTGTGGTCAGTTTGCTTGCCTGATAGAAAATACGGGATGTCTGTACCAACACATGGGATCCTTGTACTTCCATAGTCAACTTTGCCGCCATGCCCCCTGTCCAGTCCTGTTCTCTTTGATTGAAAGTTGCCCCTAGCAGTGAGCTGATCTGTCAAAATTTCAGCTGTGCATTGCCCAAAGTGAGCAGCGGAGAAAAAGCTGGCAGGTGGGTCTAAATGGGCGATCTTACTGAAAGTTACTAATATTCTACAACTATGTCTACTATATGTATATTCAGCTGCCAGCACGCTTATGCCCTCCATACTCGGGGAAAGATGGCCAAGTGTGGCCACAATACTCCAAAATGAAATGGCAATACATTTTTTGTAATTTTTTTAAAATAAAAGTTTAGTTTTTAACCGAAACAAAACACCTAAAAACAACCCAGCCATTACCATATCAAGATCAGGACTCTACGGAGACCATACCATCTCTTCTGGGGCTCTATATTCTTTTTCTCACTGAAAGTAGTTCTTTACGACTTTGGCTTTCTGTTTTGGGTAATTTATTGCTACAGAATGAGATTGCTACCGGTCATGCCTGATGGTATTGCATGATGTATGTGTAACTTCCTATACTTTTAGCATTGAGGAGACCAATAATGCGGACCAAATACCCCCCACCCCCCAACTCTATGTGCAGAAATGTAGCCCCAAACCTCCAAATAAGCTCCATCATGGTTCCCTGTTGCCTGTAAACACTTATACTTGCACTGCTTTTCCGGCCTTCCCCAAATAAATTATGTTCTGCTGCAGCCAAATCCTTAAAATGTGGACTCATCAGTCCAGTGTACCTGCTGCCATTTTCTGCTCATCAGTTTTTGGGGTTTTCTTGCATACTCAAGTTGTTGGGCTTGTTTCCGCATTAGGGGTATGGCGTATTAGCCCCAGTCTTAGATGAGATGGGATTGAGAGAGCCTAAATAGCAGCATATTAGTGTGTGACCCTCCCACAGTCAAACATTTCCTCTCGTGGGCCAATTTTGTATTCCAACCAGTGAACCTACCAGCATGTATAGTGATAATGTCAACCCCTGCACCACCCCGCTCTGTACCTTCTGAGACATCTTATTTATTTAAAGCGTCCTTGCTGGCATTGTATGGGGGCAGATGTTTTGTTGTCTGGACTAGTATTGCAGACGATAGTTTTGTATGCCAGTGATATCACTGGTAAACATTAGCTAGGTTGGATATTGATTACAGACCCTTAGGCTGGGTTCACACCTAGGCGTATAGAATATGCGCGTCTGTCGCGCGTTCCTCCCGCGATTCGCAAATAAAAAACTGCGCGACAAACACGCGTTTCTGAGGGCTACCTGGCTGTATCCCAATGGTTACGCACAGCAAATGCGCCCCAAAGAAGCTCCTGTACTTCTTTGGGCGTAGGGTGGGAACCATGCCCATAGGCAATCATTGGTTTTCACATGTTGAGCGTTTTACAGAGCGTAGGAACGCACTGTAAAACGCCCAGGTGTGAACCAGGCCTTAGAAAAAAGCTGCTTCAACAGTGTATATGGGATTCGACTGGCTAGATCAGGCCTCGTTTCTGTTTACTGATATCGAGAATATTGTAGGTGTCCCTCTATAGCAGTCAGGCTTTAATTACTTGCAACTTACAATTGGGAGTTGATTTTTGATCAGATTTTTATAGCAACTCTGGTGTTTGTTTGTTTGGTTTTTTTTAGCTAATTAGAAATTTAACATAAGTGGACAGACTACGATTGCCCGAGGTTGGTGCTTTGACCACCAGCATGAGATCTGTGTAGTTTGGACTACTAGTTTTTTTTTATTATTTTTATTTATATTTTGTTTAAATGTAACTTCAGACAAGAAGCATATTGAATAGATGAACCTCTAATGGTATCCAGGATAAAGCTCACCTGAACCTGCCTGTTGCAGCTTCTTTCTTGTGCTTCGATATATATGGGCAAGTCTGCATTGAACCTGTTAACAATCTGGTGATGGACCCAGGAAACACTGTGATCAAACACAAGCAAAGGAGCAACTATAAGAATGTAGATTACAAAGTAACTAGCTGTACAAAGTCAATGTATTTTAAAAATAGTAGTGCGCCCTAAGTCTGTTTCAAAGCAAAATGGTTTATTATATTTCACTCTTTTTCCAGGAGTTCTATGAACATACAAAAGCGCTCTGGCAAGATGAAGGCGTGAAGGCCTGCTACGAGAGATCGAACGAGTACCAGCTCATTGACTGCGCACAGTAGTAAGTGTCCCTCCTCTTTTACATTACGCTCGGTTTGGCTATGAGCGCCTGTGTTCACTTTCCTGTCCTCCTCTTGTTGTGCAGTGATGAGTATACGGGAAGGCACTTTGTGGTCACTGCAGAAAAGGCTATTGAGTTCAGTGCCTTAGTATGTACTTGCATATCACCGAAAGTTAGAGGCTTGTACAGAAACGCTGCAGGTGCAAAATGGGTTTGAACGTTACACTAACTATGCAATAGCTACTGTAAATTATTCAAAGAAAAATATCAAATAGAAGTACAGAGGAGATCTTGTACATTTCTTCACTGTGCAGTAGGCTAAAAAGTGTTTCAGAATTTTCAAAGCTAACATTGTGTGGACTAGGCCTAAAAAACAGACCATTGGTGCATTTTGTAAAACACAACCCCCCTTGCATACCTAAAAGTCTAGATTTACCTTTTATGGTGAACTTAGCAGTTTATCTTAATACGTACAGAAATGCAGGTCTTTGTGCTTTTTGCCATTTGTCACCTTGCCCATTAACCTTCCTGGCGGTAATCCCGAGTTTGGCTCGGGGGTCAATTTTCCGCACCAAAAGCCGTAACCCAGAGCCACACTCGGGCGTCTTCCGGGTTCCTTCCCTGCAAGCGCCTGCATTGCAGCGGGGCGGAACCGGCAAGATATTAAAAAGTAAAAAATTATGAGATAATCATACCGCCAGGGAGGTTAAGGTCAAAGTGACAGTGTCTTTGCAAAGGGGCCCCCCCAACCCACTGATACTCGCCTTGCCAACAGTCTTTGGTCACAGTCAGTGACCATAACCGACGCTCCCCGGTATGGGGGTAGCTTGTGCGCTCCTCCCTCTCATGTGACATAGCACTGTCAGATGACAGAGGGAGTTGTGTTAAGGCCTCTGGTAAGTTTATTGCCTGGTGCGATAGAGGAAGGGGAGTGGCAGTGGAGCCCTGGCAAGGTGAGTATCAGTGGGTTGGGGGGGCCACTTTGCAAAAAACAATTTGCTCTGAGAGGTCAGGATGACCATCTTTCTTTAATGTAGGTCTACCTTTGTCCTTTGCAAAGCATATTGCTGTAATTCATGTAGGTTGCACCGGGCTAACATTTGTTGCACAAAATGTTCATTTATTTAACTGCTTTGTCTGTGGTTTGCAATTCTTATCTGGTTACATGTTCATTTACTGTAAGCTATACATCTTGTCAACTGATTCAGTATGAGATAAAAGAAGCTGAATAATAAGGGACGTTGTATTTTGTTTTTTAGATTGACACGTATTATCGGCCTGCCTGTTTATCACAGGAATATTTAATAAGATACTGATGGTTGTAAAAAAAAAGTTCCTGATCTTTACTGGCTGTTTGTTCTTGACATTTCCTATGATTTGGGTAAAATGTTTGTTCAATTTAACAGGTACTTGGTTCTCCAATTGCCAATGAACTGGTTTTGTTTTTTTAAGGAAAACGCAAGACAGATTATTTTCAGAATTACATAGTAGTTTACTTTGACCAGTGCTGAAGAAGGTATTACTTGAAGTTTTGTGACTGTCCTTACATAACTTTCCTACATCTGTGGACTAACTATTCACAGAATTATGGTTGCAGCAGTAGGAGAAGTATGCTGGATCCCCCCCCCCCCCAAATATTTGACAAGGTAGTGGTGTAGTTGTGTCAAGTCTGTGGAGGCATCTTTCTATAGAAGGGCCAATAGGCTGGACATGAGATTATCATTACCAGATCTGAATGACTTTGGACCAGTAGGGTGGCAATCTCTTGTCTGTGGGCACTAATGGCCGGGATGGCAGTCTCTTGTCTGTGGGCACTAATGGCCGGGATGGCAGTCTCTTGTCTGTGGGCACTAGCGGCCGGGATGGCAATCTCTTGTCTGTGGGCACTACCGGCTAGGATAGCAGTCTCCTGTCTGTGGGCACTAGCGGGCGGGATGGCAGTCTCCTGTCTGTGGGCACTAGCGGCCATGATGGAAGTCTCCTGTCTGTGGTCACTAGCGGCCGGGATGAAACTCTCCTGTCTTTGGGCACTAGTGGCCGGGATGGCAATCTCTTTTCTGTGGGCTAAGTCTCCTGTCTGGGCACTAGCGGCCGTGTAGGGAGTCTCCTGTCTGTGGGCACTAGTGGCCGGGATGGCAATCTCTTTACTGTGGGCACTAGCGGCCGGGATGGCAATCTCTTTTCTGTGGGCACTAGCTTCCGGGATGGCAATCTCTTTTCTGTGGCCACTACCGGCTAGGATAGCAATCTCCTGTCTGTGGGCACTAGCGGCTGGGATGGCGCATTTAAAGAGAAATTGTATTTGGATGTGCTTGAAAGCCTTTATCAGGACTTGTGTCTGACAGTTGTTACACATATATTGGTATCTTTACAGTCAAGGAGAATTGAGATGCACAAAACATGATGTAGTTCTTGTGCCCTTTGTAACGTGGTCCTTTTTATTTTTCGTTTAAAAAAAAAGAAACTAGTTCCAGCTGACCAGTCTTCATCCTTCAGCAGTTTGTTAGAAGTAGAATTCTTTGGTGGGAAATAGCTTCTTGTGAAAAAGAAGTGGAAGTGTTTCGCAGGCGAGACAGCATTTATGGAGTGTGCCTTTTTGAAAAGTTTTTTTTTTTCTGTGGACTTTTTAGAACCTCAAAGTATTTCTTTTAATTCTAGGCTGGGTGCATTGCAAGTAAGGCTAACAAATGGCTCTTTCAGTATATGGCAGCATAAATGAAGCAGGGGGCTGTGGTAGGAGGTAACGCAAGTAAAAGGGACAATAGCGTGTATTGTTTCCTGGGTCCTGGTGTCTCGGCAATAGCTGCCGCACAGCCTCCGCTCGAATAGCTGACATATTCTGGGAGTCCCACTTGTGACGGCAGCCTTCCCTTGTCTTTTTCTCCCATCAAATCCATTCCCGCACATTCCGCTCTTTGCTTTTTTTAGGAGCCAGCTCCATTGACAACAACTAGAGAAATCCTCTAGTTAAATGCCAGCACATTGACTGACTACCTGGCTCCTGGGATTTGTCCAGTCTTGCTTTAAAGCTATATAGGTATAAGATGGGTCATAGATTATACATAACCACCTAAATATATTTTGGTAACTCTGCCATGATTATTGATGGCTCATTGCACAAAAATGAGGCAAAATGAAATTATTTACAGTCATGCTGCTTGTTTGTCTCCAGATCGTCCAACCACCCTGTGTGTACTGACAGTGGGTATCCATGTAATTGTTAATAGATAAACTGTGTATTGTGATTTTTGTTGTTGTTGTTTTAGTCACAATAAATGGTGATGGTTATAAAAACACACTATTATGAAGCTGAAGTCTCCTATATAAAACAATCATTGCTCCCTCTACCCGATTATAGGACGTGTGCATGGAGCAGCACAGGCTTTGTGTAATGCTGCTAGCTTCCAGCGTCTGCAGTTGGTATTTGGGTGGATTTTGTACTGGGCTGCCCCGTATGATGTCATGACAGCTGATCGCTCACAGGCTGTGCCATTGGCTGCTGTCATCCAGACCTTGCTTCCTCCTTGTAACGGGGCCCCTGCTGCACGAAAGCTTTATGAAGGGCCAGATGGAATCCTGTGTATACAGCACATAGAATTCCCTGACACCTGGAAGATTTACCCTTATTACTCATTCTCAAGCTTATCGCTCGTTAAACATTTACACAGGCCTGACATGCACGGTGTGGCCGCATTCGATGGAAACCAATGTTTGTTGTCCATAGCAACCAGTTGGTAGCTGTTGGCTTATAGGGAAAGTGAAAGCAACTCTGTACACAAAACTGGTCTGATCTGAAGATCTGTTTAAATGTTTCCTTTTAACTACTTGAAGATCTGCGGGACAATAAGACAATGATGG